TAAAAGGAGAATTCTTTCGCAAATGAATGAAAAAGTAGAGACGAGGATTGTATAATAGTATAAGTTGATCTTCTACTTTTAACTGCCTCTACACGCGACCCCGGGAAAGTTTCTCCATTAAAGCACCGGTGCACACACCGTTTTACGATCGCGGGGCTCGTTCGAATTACACAGCAGCGAAGTCCATAAAACACTTTTCGAGAACGAAAGTGTGCATTTGTCAACGGAGACGCCGGGAATTAACAAACGCGTCGCGTCGACTAAATAAACGAACACGGCGCTGGAACGGGAGCGAGCTGGCAAGGGGACGAGAAATAAACGGAGGGGATAGTGGCGGAATAGAGAGACAGAAAAGAGGGTGAAAAGTGGAACGCGGTGGAATCGAAACGCGAAACTCGAAACGAATTGGATCACGGGTATTCATCGATGCGGCGTCGACGAAAATCCGGGAACGAACGAGTCGGCTCTTTGGAAATTCGTATATACCGGGGAGAAAAAGAGGGGCGGAAGGGTTGCTTTTCCACCGAAACATGGACGGATATCGATTCCACTAGCTCTTGCAACTGACGCGGAATGCGTAAGAAAGCCGTTTACATTGCCAGCAATAAATGTCTCGCTGGGCAGAAGAGAGAGAAATATTCCCCGACTCGGCGTGTATCGTTACACCGTGCCTTCCCACAGAAATTATTGACGCGACGACGCTATTCGAGGCTGAGAAATTGCCTCGGAAGAGTCAAATCTTCTGTGAACGAGGAATTTTCGCAAACACTGTCTCTGATCGTGTGAAATATGTGGACACTATCGCTCTTAAGTATCATATTTGCTCAGCTACTTGTGTTTCTTTACTCGACAATGTGACAAATTTTTGGAAGAAATTATATTCTCTTTTTGTACGACTATGAAAGGGTTAAGAGCTTGATTTATAGTAACGAGACACACTCGTGTCATATTTTGGTCAGGGTGCAAGACTCAACGATGTAACAAATTTTTGGAAGAAATTATATTCTCTTTTTGTAAGGCTATCAAAGGGTTAACACCTTGCTTTATAGTAACGAGATAGACTCATATTATATTTTGGTCAAGGTACAACAAACAGTTGTATTAGTAAAAGAAATTAATTCTACAATAATTCTATTTAGCTACATTTGTTACTTAAACCAAAGGATTGCCAAATTATAATAATTTACAATATTTTAAGGTTAAGATTTAAACGAAGTTATTTATTGAAATGAAAAAAGAAAGAAGTCAAAGTGAAATTGCTGGCTTGCAAGAATTCTCTTTTGAAAAATAAATGCTTTGCAATACTATGCAAAGTATAATATTCCACTATTATCTTAAGTTAGATAGAGAAACGATTGATACAATCGAACGAAAAATTCCGGCTTCCCTCTAGCGATAAAAGAGAATACTATCTTTCTCCAGTTGCAAGAGAATATTTGTACAGAAGTGATCTTCCTGTAGACTCGAGACAACTGACTGTCGAAGAGAGAGAAGAAGCAATCGAGTGGATGCTCTGATAAAACTACATATCCTGCTCAAAGTACACCGATATATTCCAACAATACACCTACACTTCTGAATAAAATACATAATTCTACCACGCTAACGAAACAAAAAACTTCAGAATTCCTCCCGTGAAACCATTCTAAAAACCCACAAAACGAGACATTACAGCTCGCTAACCGTGCAACGAAGCCGAAATTCCCCGGAACAAAAAGGAAGGAAAATAGCGAGGAACAGGAACGAGAATTTCGATAGTTGCCCGAAAAACAGAACGCATAAGGCGAAAGGAGGTGAAGAAAGAAAGAGGGGAACGGGGTCGAAATTGTCGATTCAGGGAATAAGGAACATCCTTGTGGGCTAGATTCGGCGTTCCTGTTGTTTTGCTCGCCGCTAACCCTTCGGATTATACCGGATGTGTATCCACAGAGTGCACGTACATGTACATCCCCGGGCTGGGCACGTAGTCGAGGCGAAAGCCTCGCGTGTACAGGCCGTACGTACACTGTACAATGGCAAATATTACAGCGTCGCATCCGTTATGCAGTGTTTTTTCACCAACGTAAAAGCTGGAGTAAAATCGAGAGTAAAAATGGTAGGAGAGAGCTGCCGAAGCAATTATCGTAATGAGATGTTCGGATTGGTGAGACAGTTGGAGAACGCGAGACAAGCTGTTGTCTGAGTCAGCTCTCCCTTTTTTCGACCGACCAGCCTTGGCTCCTGACGTTCAACGTGAGGTTTTGCTTCGTTCAAGAATTGAGATTTAATATTTAATCAAGAGGAGACAGGATTTCCTTCTTTTTGTTCTTTAGACGTAGATATATCGAGGACGAGTTGGCGAAGGAGTTGGAGAAAGTTTTGGAAATGATTATTTTATCAGGTGAAAGGAGGGAAGATTAGATTGGTGCGTCAGGTAAACAGGGACCATTGACCAGCTCCCTCAGAGGGAATATCAATGTGGTCTAACGTACTCTTCAAGCAAGCTGGAACAATCAAATATTGGCTTGCTGGGCGTACCGCGATTGCCTCTGGAACACCACTGATACAGTTCAAATAGTCTAAGTTACAAGAGACAGTTAATCGATCCCCCTAATGCTACTTGCGCTCCTTGTGGCCCGCGGTGTGTCGCAAACCTGCCAAGAAACTCATTAACGCTGCAATTAAATTGCTACCTTATCCCCGTGGCTCCGGCGAAAATCCACCCTAAAATTCTCAGGTATAAATACTTCGTCGTTTCACAAACTGAACGTCGAATTAACCCCGCGCGAATTCCTCGACTAACGAAACCCTGGGTGACATAATTCACCTGGCAAACCTCGACGACGGCAAACCGTGCCAAAATAAATATCGAACGTCGGTCGAATTAATAGGATTTTCCAAACTGCGGTCAGCGTTCTGGCTGTGATAAAAAGTCTCGGGACACAGGTTCTCCCGAAAAATTTCTCGAGTACCGACGCGCGTGTCGTATTTCCTCGAGGAACGTCCCGCGAGATGTATAATGCATTACACGACCGACTATGATACCGCAAATACTACAAAGGCTAATGCCGATAAATGGCGTGTTCCCACGCGTCGTTTGTCAGGATCACGAGAAGCTAGCGTCGCGACGCACGTGCCCACCGGAGGGTTCTCGCCTATCAGAACGAACGAGAGAGAGAGTGTAATGTCGACTTTCGCGACGGTAATTTTTCAATTATCCCGCCGCGTATATAGCGTTGCTCGAAAAGCTCTCTCTCTCTCGCTCGCTCGTTTCCATGCGGCAAGAGAGAGAGAGAGAAGTGGGACAGAGGAGTATCGATTTCAGATTCCAATTTAATGCCGTCGCGGTATCCGAGCCACGATCTTCCAATACCAATTTCGCGTTATCGGGCCTCCGTTCGACGACGACGGCTTCCGTCTTGCGGCCGCCAGACGCGGCGCGCGCGATCCTCGAACCCTAAGGGCGACTCTGCCCGCGGTACGGGCAATCCTAGAGCACGATTGTGCTCCAGCTCCTTGGGAATTCTGGCGCAGCCTCCGGTTACTTTGGTTCGAGGGATTTTTTCCTGGTTTCAATGGTGTTGTAGGTGGGATAGCGGGAAAGGTGAATGTAACTCCGTTCGGAAATTGGAGATTTGCGGTGAATAGAGTTGTTGGGGGTGGATATCGATAAATTCTAAATTTTGAAATTAATTTTTTAATGAAATTTTTTAGACTGATGTGAAATACAGTAACATGCTTGTAAGACAATCTCTAGAACTCTAAGGTGTTGAAGGGGTGAAAATTATCGTCGCGAAAGTTTGGAGAGTTCAACAAGTGTGGTATCGTGAATTATCGAAGAGGGATGAACGAATGCAAGGCAACTTGTTGTTGGAGAAATTTGTAAAAGAGGGAGAAAGATAAAGCATCGTTCGATAGAACAAAAAGGACAAAGAAGGTGCACGTTAGAAGTTATTTATTGTTATTAAAAATCACTACTCTCCCCGATACTCCTCTAACTCCCCGCAGAAGCAACCAAATTTAACTCACTCGAGATTCCACATAAAATTTCGAAATACCACCGTATCAAAAGGTTTCGCGAGTTCAGTACGCTGTTACTCTCGGAACATTAGAATTCCAAGCGCAATTGTAGTCGCCGTTCTAAAACAGAGAATGTGACTCTCTACGCTCGATTTCGAAATTTGGAATAAAAGTTACGAGTACGACTGTTGTAGAAACCTTAGAACTTCGTACGATTGTTCTGACAATAGTAGAATCCTAAACGCGACTGAATTCGCAACTTTCCAACTTTCAATGCTAGTAAAGCGGTAATTTCGAGATCTGAAGTAAGAAGTTTAGAGACCGGTAAATTACAAACGTTACAACTCTGTACACAATTATACTAACAATAGGTTAGAACTCGAATTTTACACGGCTCTGAACTCTACCCGAGATCTCAAAAAACTTGGACAAATTTTAGCGTTAACCCTTCGACAATTTATCCCAAGTGAGACTCGAGCAGTGCGTTAAATAACGAACAGTTTCAACTCGTGAGAGACATTTAGGAAGAAAGTTAGAAAGGGACGAGGTATTGTTATCAAAACTGACGTAGGGTTATGTTCACTGTGCTTTAACCCTTTCCGGTCCAAATAGTCCAGTTAATCCGCACTCGTTTGGTCACTCTCGGACAGTATCGCAATGTTAGTCATAAAATACTAAGTTTCGAAATAACATCAATGCATAAAAATATGGTTCATTGTCATTGATAATTTATCATTTATCGTTATGCGATATCTGAAGGCAAAAATTCTTATGTCGAGCCTGACTTGACGTAATTATTAAAAAAATACCAACACAAAATATGAATTTTATTCACTCTAATTCGTAATTATATTAGACTGTCAAGGGGTTAATAGCTCGTTAAGGAGTTTCCAGGGGTTGATAGTTCGCTCTCGTATCAAAACTTCACCATATCCTTCACAGCCTTTCCAATCGTTTCTAGAGTGACAAACACCCTGGATGGTTTCTTGTCTCTGTTCCAGTTCCGCCGCACCAAATCAAGATCGTCAATGACTCCGGGGCCGCACCGAATTCGACGGTGGGCCCGTACATGGAGGGCGACACTCTGCGGCTCTACTGCGACGTGTACGGCGGTAAGTACAATGTAATGTCACGTCGCCCCTAGTTCCCGTGGTCCGGTCGACAGGACCGCTGGAACGTCCAGAGTAATTCCAAAAACGAGCACGTTGGATCGTTGAAGGCTCGTTTGCAACGAAGTTTACGCGGTGAACCTCTCTTGTGTGTGCTAGACGAAATTCCAGCCACAGTCGGAAATTTGTTCGAATCGTTTCAATTGCTATTTTCACGAATCGTGCACACCATAAAATTTGTTTTCTTCAACAACGAAAATTAAACTGTTAACATCCTTGGAATTAATTCACAGCATCGCGTACATCTTCGAAGAGAATAAGTTTCGAGTAATTTAATTATTATTGTTGAGACTTCCAGATGTAAAATATAGATGATTTTAATATTAATTTTATACTTTTATAACTTTCCATAAGGCTTCTGGAAAGTGTTCCAACGTTTCGCAAGGATTGCAGCTCACTTCATAAAAGTTAGGTTATGTGACGATTATATACACAGTGGCCCAAGAATGGTGCTACAACCAGACAGGATTCTTTTATAAAAAAAATTCTGTTAAATGTTTTTTACTTTGTGTTTTCATATAAAATCACTTCCTGCCCGATTGAACCACTAGTCTTAGCCCACCCTGTATACAGTCCTCACCTAACCTAACTTTCACGAAGTGAACTACAATGAAACAGTTTTTCCGTAAAAACACAGCTTACCCCCGGAAGTCTGAACAATAATAACCAGGTTACTGCAGTTTTACTAGACCTCCTAAACACGAAAACAGCTAGCGCCACCCTCTGGTATCGGCCGTAATAGTATAATTCCCGTGTACATCAGCTATAAACAGGCACAGGGAGGCTTGATTTACGAACGGAACGATGTACTAGAGTTACCGTGGAAGATTGCCAGTTATCACCGTTGGCAATTTGTTTCAATTACCTGCTCGCTACTATTATACCAACCCCCTGTTGCCTCCCCCCTCCCCTCTTTATTGTAAACGAGCCTTTCAAAACAACCACCGAACTTCTTTATATTCGAACGTGAAATGAAATGAGTGAAAAAAGAGAAGAAAAAAATAATAACCGAACAAGAGCACGCGTTTGCACGCGACAAAGAGAGTGAGTCACGCGGCAGCGGGGGGTGCAGGGAAAAAAAGAAACAAATGAGAAATTCGCAATCAGAAAGTCCTTTCACACGCCTGTGCTCGACATAAAAGTTCGTGGAACGGTTTAAAAAATTCTGTTGGAAAAAGAAAGAAAAATAGAGAAGGAAAGGGAGTAAAAAATAAAAAGAAAAATATGGAAGTGATGCGTTCTCCACAGGTAAGCCAGCGCCGACGGTGTCCTGGCACCGCAACGACAAGCTCGTCAACAGCGAAACTATAACCGTGACGAGCGGCGCGACGCGCAGCGAGCTCGTTATAAAAAATTTAGGACGAGAGGACGTCTGCTCGGTGCTGACCTGCAACGCAACGAATAACAATAGGTCGATCCCGCTCTCCTTGTCCGTTCGCGTGAACATGAATTGTAAGTATCCTCTTTTACCTCTTCTACAGTCGCGACAATAAAAACTCTCGCCATTTTCTTCTTCCCGAGCTCTTTGTTTCGCTTCCTCTAACTATACCTCTGACCCCTAGTCTCGTTCCCTTTTCACTCTCCTCGTTATTTTTCGCGAGGAAAATTTGGACTTCCGTTTACCGTTCGATCGTTCCACAGCAGATGAAATATCTATCGATCGTAAATAAAATAAATCTCGTTCTCGGCGTGTGTTGTAAATCGTTTTATCGACGCCACCTGACAAGCTGAATACGAAATGTCGAGCAAATTGATTTTTGAGGAAGGTGTGTTGCACAGCTTGTGAATTTTTCGCCAGTCTATACACCTTCGTAGAGGCGTTTTGCTATTGACAAGCCATCTCTGCGAGATGTTTATCGGGATAATAGAAAAGCCAGTGGCCATTTTTCTAGCCGCCGCTGTACCGCGATGCGGCATCGAAATACCACTGTCGATCGGCAGAGATGAAGTTTCCAGCGGGTGGGCAATGAAGTTTAGAATCGACTCTGATTCGATATCGTCTCGAAACAATAGCGCTGGATTCGAAGTGACTTTTCAGAGTGCGGTGAGTAGGTATAGTCGACGAAAGGAATGTAGAAAGGTCGTAAATTGAAGCATTAAGTGACGAGACGGAACCGAATTTGGATATTGGGACTGATTCAAAGCTAAAAAACACTTCGTGTAGCCTTCACTGAGATTTCGAGACTTTATCTTCTCGAGTTTCTATGAATTCGCTTGTCGATGTCCAATTTTCGCAATATTTCTTCCACAGACTATACGTTCCCTCATAATCGTTCGCTACAAACGCTCATTAGCCCTCGTACGTCGATTCCATGGTCATTTTGACACAAGAGCGACAAAGTCAGGCGGCTCAAAATACGTTTGGTACAGAAAATGCACCTATTTCACGTATCAAATGTAAATAAAGGAGAAAAATATAAAATATACATAGTTGAAAGTATACCGAAACCAGTGTGCAATAGAAATTTTGTCTCACGTGTAAAACCATTCGTCTTCCGAGGGTTAACCGATATTCAATCTCAAAATTCCACGAATATTCTCTTCGTTCACCGCGACAAATTCCCCACAATTCACGTACAACCCTGAGACTATAATTCTTTGTTATTAAATCGAATCACCCGGGCGATATTATCGAGAAGAAGAAATATAGCGGTATAAAGCGTGTCCAGTGACGATTCCGAGGCACATGATCGTGGCCACCGGCGGCTTTTCAATCTAAATTATCGAGGGGTTAACCCCCATAAAAGCGGAGTAACGAGAAATAATAAGGATACGCGTCATGCCGGAATCAAGATGAACGATAAGATCTTCCGGGAGGAAGTGCTACGCAACTCGAAGGGTCTCGGTTTCACCCACCTCCCCCAAGGGATCCTCTTATACCCTTTTACAAGGCCGGATCCATTTTCCAGCCACGGTGCGTAGAGGAAATGGCGAATGGTTCGCCACGGGCGTGGCCATTAAGTCGGTGAATTATATTCCTGTGTAGGGTGGTTCGATACCCTCGGCGATTCTAGATCCTCGGTGAAAAGGATCTTCGATTATCTGTACGATGATTTAAAATATGCCCCGATAACGTTCTCGGATCGGAAAGTGACCATTCCCGATCGACCAACCGGGCTGACTCCTTCACTTTCACCCTCGTGGGAACAAAACGAGAACTGGATATACCGTTTGTACCACCGTTGTACGTCTTGGGAGATACTTAGAAGGGCTCTGGTTAAAGGGGATGACGGCCGAAGATGACGAGATAGGAAAGGTGGATAATTTAGATCTTACATATTTTCGGTTGGGACCAGTAACAATAGGGTTCGAGTGTTTCTCTTTTAGATGGTCTATCTGGAAGGTACTCTTGAATCGACACGTTGGGAATGGGAAAATACACAGTATACCGGGTGTCCAAATTTTTTTCGACCAAACTTTGTCGGTGTATTCTACAGGTATGCATAAGGAAAAAATGTTGTATGAACGTAAGTTGTTTGAAGCTTTGTTAAAAAGTTATAACTGTGACTTAGAGTTGATATGATGCATCTCGTGGTATAACGAGTACATATTACTTTGGCGAAGAAATGTAATTTAAATCATGTAATACTTTCTTTACGAATATAACAGCTGTCCTAGAAATCATGAACGACAGAGTGTCTGAATTTGTCATGAATTCTCTTTGTAGGATGCTTAGATCGACAGAAATGAGTTCTTTTAACGTGTCTTTATTCTTTAATGCACCGAAGTTCAGGATTAAGCCCTCGTTCGCTCATCTTGCACTCACATAACCTAAAATCTACGCGAAACATTTCCCACAAACGACGTCCAATCACTGTTGAAACCGTTACACGAGATACGACATATTTTAAACAATCTTAACCCAAACAATCCTATAAACTTTTACGAAACTGGCACTTGAACTGGCTTACACCTTCTCTACTTGGAAACAATCGATCGTCCGCCATTACAATCTCCTAAAAGTAGCCAATATCGCGACACGATGGGAACAATTACATCTAACGGGGAGGAACGATAGTTCCCGTCGATGCAGGAACACACTGGACAAGCAACACACAGCGATGCAGAACAGATGACTAGACCAGATTACCCTGTCTTTGGACGAACCAAGTTGCGCGAGATCGCGCGGCGCAATTTAGTAGAATGGTGAAGTTCCGGCTGATAGCCTCGTTTCGCGTCGCACAGTTCTTAAACAAAGTTCGCCCCTTACAGAGGCAGTAAACGCGACGATGTCGTTTGCTTGTACGAGACTCGTCCTTCGAACGCTGCGCATTCTGCTCGATTGTTCCGAGATTGTCGTTTCTCAAATGACAGAGCTGAAACTGAACGCTCTCTTTTCCCTTTCTTCTCTTTTTCCTGAAACTCTGGAACACGAAGGAACAGAACACACATAATCTTTTACGTTTGCAGTAGAATAGCACCGAAGTGGAGTGTACTGCTTTCGAAATCGCTGCAATTAGACTTCCACGAGATTGTGACCTAAGTTTCAATGTCCTCTGCCTGGTACTATTGTTCGGATGGATAGTTACAAGGAAATTTCGAGTGTAGAAAGTGTCGGAACGACGAGAAACGGTACGCAAAACTTTCATCTCGAGGAGTATAGAGAATTTTTGACGATCTCTCGTCTCTTGAATAAAATACGATACAGATATTTTTCGATTCACGTCGAGTACCTCGTATAAATCTGGACCACGTCCAGGAAACTACACTGCGATCCTTTCAATTCGAGACCGTACTGGAAAAACTACAAATCACACGCCATTCACGGTTGTGACATCAACTTATATCGCGCTTGACAAACTTGATCACCAAGAGAGAGAGAGAGAGGTGAATTCCTGTACGAAACTTAAATAATTTAGCCTGGCGTAATTCCCAAAAGTGGCAAAGGGACCAGGTTGGAATGACATTTCGCATTGTCGCAACGAGACTTTATGCAACCGGATGTTTTGTTCCCAAAGGAGAATCGTTCGTAGAAGCGAGACTTGTTTCTAGTCTCGTTCATGCCTTTTACGGGTTTCCTGCTCGCTCTGCCTTTTAGTAATTTTGACGGTATGGATGTACGAGGATAATATCTTAATCTGGACCAGCTTTTATACCCCCGTCTTGTTCCCAACTTTGGTTTATTGCCGTGTGAATCGATGGAGCTGCCTGATCCTCGAGGTACTTGCGATTAGGGTGTAAATATGGCTAGAGTCAAGGTCCACATGTGTTCCTGGGTAAAGTTGCTGGTTAATTGTGGTCTGGGGACTTATTTGTATCACGTCACTTGGGTGGACTATGCTCAGAAGACTTGCAACTACTTTTCATAGAAATCCTCAGATTTTCATATTTTCGTTCATATCGTTAGCTCAGACACGAATGAGAAGTTATTGCGCAGAAAATGGTTTCTCTAATATTCCCGTGAATTAGGAAGAAAGCAAAGAACACAATCAACGAAGATCTTCATCCAAATCTCGATCTAGCAGAGATTTATTAGAAGATCACGTCAGAGGACTTCATTAAACAGAGGATGCACCGGTACTGATACAGAGTTGGGATTAACATCGCAGATATCAGTATCAACGTCCCTCAAATCTCTGACACGAGGCTGGTTGCAATTTCTGGCTGAAACGTCGTAATGAATCCGTGTGCGCTCTCTCTGCGTTGCGTTGGCCTCGAATCTCCCTCGAAACTTCCACGAGGATCGTCCCTACCTAACTTAATAACGCTAACGCCATAGTCGTATTTTAATTTCTTTTATTACCCACCGTCGACTATCTATCCCGGTATTATCCCGCCAAAGTGAACAGTAAAATTTCGCCCGTAAGAGGACCATTTGTTCAAACGATCCGCTTTTAGCGTGTTCGCGCGAGACCGGTTTATCGCATTCCCTCACAAAAACCTTTACCGTTCTTAATCTTTGTCTACGTCCAGTGGAAACGCGGCTGTCTAGGTCGATACCCGACCACCACACAGAGATAAGTTCGAATGTTCCTTTCTTTTTTTTTAGTTCTTCGGAGAACGTTTGAGATAACGGAGGAAAGGTAGGATAAAAGTGAAATTACCATAATGTAGAGGATAAGAAGGTAAATGTTACTTTGTCACCGAGACAAATCACGATCTTAGGAGAGAAGCGAGCCCTTGAAATTGAAAGTTCCGGTGTTCGAGTGGATCGCCGCCTCGATTCTTCGCTTGGAAATATCCATCCAGGAGTACGAATTCAATTTAGGACGATCGATTGGGCGGGTAATTGAGATGCACCGAAAATAATGCGGCCGGAATGAAGATGGGGGATAAAAGGGAACATTAAGAGGCTTATGAACGATGAGAATTGGGAAAATTATTATCTGAAGAGGTAATTGTTTAAAGCCTGAAAAATGTGTCGCGAGAATTCTTCCTTTATTACGTTAGATTCGGAGAAGGACAATTTTCGAGTGTATAAAGAGGTTCGTAAATGCAAAAAGAGAAACGTT